TATAAAGTGTAAGCAATTTTAGACCAGAGATGCATCACGTAACTGTTAAGAGTAAAAAACAAAAACTTGCTTGTAAGGAAGATTGCATGGGAATTATTAACTCATTTCCAAATCCAATACGGCTGTCACAAAGAACGAATGACTCAGACCCAAAGGCATGGGAGGTGAACTAATCATTTCTGTTTCCTGTACAGAATCTTTGGGATCTTCGCAAAATGAATAAATCACTCTCTGAGACAACATATTAAAGGGTTAGTTCACCCAAAAATGAAAATTCTGTCAGTATTTACTCACCCTCATGTTGTTCCAAACCTCTATGTGTTTATTTGTTCTGCTGTACAGAAAGGAAGATATTTGGAAGAATGTTTTAATCAAACAGATCTCATTCCCCATTGACTACCATAGTAGGAAAAATACATACTATGGTAGTCAATGGGGATTGAGATCTGTTTGATTAAAACATTTTTCCAAATATCTTCCTTTGTGTTCAGCAGAACAAATAAATACATAGAGGTTTGGAACAACATGAGGGTGAGTAAATACTGACAGAATTTTCATTTTTGGTTGAAGTAACCCTTTAAAGATTTGTTCAAAATGAACGAATCCTTCATGATCGATCACTATTCAGAGTCAGCAGGCCCAGGACAGGCTTTCTATGGGTGAGCCACAAAAAGCAAAGGATACTAGAAATGCTTCTCACCATAAACATGAAACTGACAGAATGCGGTGTTGAAGTTTTTTTATTTTCTTGTATGACATATTATATATAGTTGTACATGACTCTATCACTACAGAACATTTTTAACGAACAGTGACAAACAGGTGGATGTATTGGCAGGTGCTGTTTTAGAGCGTGGCAGCAGTCAAATCACTGGCGACATTGTTATGACATTGTTATGCGATCCATCAACACACACACTCACCTAATGTGGATGGTGACATTACTCTAATGTAATGAAAATGTACAAATCTCACACTTTCTTCTTGTAGGATTGAATAAGCTAAAGGATATTATGATTGTTGTAGTGTCTACTGTGCATTAAAGTAGCATTGCTTACTAAAATATCAAAGAAAATGTCATAGACACAGTAAATGATACAAATCCTCATGAGAGAGTCATGTTTTAAATCCTCCAATTACATGTTTGAAACATAAAACGTTATTGTTCTTTCGTAGTGGACATAAGGATCTATTTCTATTTAAAAAATAAAAGCAAGTTAATATTAATAAATGTTTTAGAACTTTCAATACAAAAAAAAAAGCTAAATCAATGAGAATGTTGACCTGTAATGTCTCCCCATTGGTTGATAACTTACAAAAACAAATCACTAAACTATAAATAATAATGAACACATAATACACTTATCACTTGAGGATGATAGTGGGGATGCATTCAATTGATTAAACCTAAAAGTAAAGACATTTGAAATGTTAAAATTATATTAAGCAGCACGACTGTTTTCAACATTTATAATAATGAAATATCAATGTAATATGCTGATTTGTTGCTCAAGAAAATTTCTTAATGATCATGTGACTCTAGACACTGGAGTAATGGCTGCTAAAAATAAAGCTTTGAATAAAATCTGAATAAATAACTTTTTAGGATAGTTTTTTATTAAACAAATACTATATTTCACAATATTACTGTGCTGGGCAACGATTAATCGCGATTAATCGCATCCAAAATAAAAGTTTGTGTTTACATAATATATGTGTGTGTATTGTGTATAATTACTTTGTATATATAAATACGCACATACAAATGTGTTATCAATACATCAAATATTTATATATAATATTAATTATGTATAAATATATATAAAGTATATACTGTACATGCATGTGTGTGTATTTATATATACAAAATAATTATACACAGCACACACACATATATTATGTAAACACAAACTTTTATTTTGGATGCGATTAATCATGATTAATCATTGCCCAGCCCTAATTGTAATAAATGTGGCTATAGTTAGCATAGAATTATTTCAAAAACCAATACAAAACAATACTGTACAACTGCTACTTTTTTTAAATACAGTCATTTCAATACAATCGTTGTTTTGCAGAAGCAGATGTTGATCTAAAAACGATGAAAGGAAGTTGTCAAGCCGAAACAGCCAACGTTTTGTTTCTCAGAAAAGCCTGTTTTAAGTTTGAAAGAGTACACTGAATTGCTGGATCCCAGAAGGATACTAAACAGATGAATTGTAAAAATAGATGAGAAAATACAAGCACAACGTCAGTGAATTGGAATAAGTCCTATATTATCAATTGCTTCAATGAAATCTCCAGTTGAACCTCCACATAAAGCCGAGAACTACACCAGAGTCCTTGAAAACATGAGTAGCTGTATTACAATCCTTGACATGTTTACACTAACTCTCTCTACGTTTCCACAGAGCCATTTATATGCGCTCAGTAACTGGTGTAAAAGTGTAGAGAAAAGAGTCATTCCCACATATCGAGCCCAGCAGCTGAATTGTTTCGCACACTGGTATGCGGTCGTACCATTTCAGATCACAGTAGAGACCTAAAGCTTTAATTATCCTCAATCCAACTTTATTACATGCAGACTTGTCTTTAAAGACGTAATTAGTGGAGTAACACAACACGGGGCCAATTCAATTCCACTTTCGAGCTTGTGGATGAGGGATAATTTTCTTTAAATACATGTCACACTTTCCTGAATCAAATCTGTACTGTACATGCCTCTTTGAGCTAATATCCAGGCTCTGCGAGACATGCTGCTCTTACAAACGACTAATGACATGATTATTATGATGATGGTTGAATGAGAAATCCCACTAATAACAACCATCTAGGTTGGTGCAAGATGGCTGCACACGTCCAAATGAAGGTTAATATTCAGAAATTCACAGCTTGAGTGATTTTTGAGAATGAGATATCATCCAATACAAACTAATCATATTCACTAGAAGCCAAAAAGCTGAAGTGACCAAGTAACCACTTTACACATGTGCCTCATGTCACTCAAGCTTTACCACAATAAGCTAAACAAGCAACATCTTGTTTTGTCAGTGGTTGAAACCAAACATAGTCCTGAAATAAGACCTGCGTGGTATGTTTTCTTTTTACAGAGCAAAAAAGGGCTCACGTTGTGAAACTACTTATGAGCCCTTTAGTGTTTTAGTTTTAGAGCTAGATAGTAGTTGCATACAGTGTTTTCCCCTGCACAGTATTTTGCCAAGATTTTTTTTTTTTTTTTTTTTTGCAACAACATAGGCAATTTCTTAGCTGAGTTAAGGCCTTAATGTTCTATTCTATATATTATTCAGCACAATAAATATTTTAATTTTAACAACACAAACATTAGCATGCTGTAAATCCAACACTTTTCTCAATCTCATTTCCACTGCACTGAAAATAAAATTGGCCAAACAATAAGATTTGCACTTTAGGTAACACATGCCCAAAGCCACTGTTGTTTCATAAAACTATGACTTAGTGGCGTTCACAAAAAGACTGTTAAAAGCACAAAAGAAAACCGGAAGTGGCTCTGCCTCCCAAATCAATCCTAAATATTATGTGAGATTAGAATAAGTGTGTCCCAAAGCATAGTTTATTAAAGGAGTAGTTCACTTTAAAAAAAATTTTTGCTGATAATTTACTCACCCCCCGTCATCCAAGATATCCATGCCATTCTTTCTTCAGTCGAAAAGAAATTAAGGATTTTGATGAAAACATTCCAGGATTTTTCTCCATATAATGGACTTCAATGGGAACCAAACGGTTTAAGGTCCAAAAGACAGTTTCAGTGCAAACTGCAAACTGTTCAAAGGGCTTTAAACGATTCCAGGTGATGAATAAGGGTCTTATCTAGCAAAGTTTTATAAGCTCAAATGCTCGCCTTGCTCTGTTCTGTGATGCGCGTTTGTTACTCTCCTGTTCGAACTCATTTATCAAAATGAACGAATCTTTTCCCGAGTCAACTCGTTCATTTCGTTCGTTGAATGAACCAAATGTCACGAAAAAAAAATTTGTTCATTTTGATAAACGAGTTCGAACAGGAGAGTCACGAATGCGCATCACAGAACAGAGCAAGACGACCATTTGTGCGTATAAAACTGAAACTTTTTTTTTTTTTAAATGAGCGATTGTTTCGCTAGATAAGACCCTTATTCATCCCTTATTCATATAAACTGTCTTTTGGACCTTGAACCGTTTGGTTACCATTGAAGTGCATTATATGGAAAAAAATCCTGGAATGTTTTCATCAAAAACCTTAATTTGTTTTCGACTGAAGAAAGAATGACATGGACATCTTGGATGACATGGGGGTGAGTAAATTATCAGCAAAAGTTTTTTTTAAAAGTGAACTAGTCCTTTAAAAAGAGCATGCCACAAGTCCCCAGAAGATCTAAAATTTCTGGTATATTTTCGAAGTGTGGATCCGTGCACACTCTAACGGCTAATATTGCCCACAACCGCTTTGGAGAAGAATTCAGTTCAGAACTACAAACACCAAGTGTTAAAAAACTACAAACATGGTGGATGTGCACATCCAACGGTTAATTACAGAGGTTTAGATGAAGGGGATTGGAAGACTAACCATCACCATTTAACCTGATAAAAAATTGTATTTAATGTTATCCGTGTTATCTTTCATCTGCAACAAAAACCTTTATAACTTCTAAACCCATCATTATGCAAAAATATTAGTTTCTCCACATGAAATACCCAGAGATCAACATGCTACTTGTTTTCTCTCTGATACGGTAGGAAATGAAAATGTACAGTATTAATTGGCAGGCCAGTTTGCAGTGATAAGATGCTCGTAACTATGCGACAAAGTGACTGTTAAACGTATTTGTTTGAAATAGCTTTTAATCGATGATACAGTGTCATGTTATCTGTTTTATTGTCTGTTATTTGTTCTACCTGTATTTCATTGAGTTTATGTTTATGCTATGTACAGCACATTGGTAAACACTTGTTGTTTTAAATAGTGCTTTATAAATAAAGTGACATTGACATTGTTAAAAGACACAATTTAATGAGGTGATAGTATTTCACAAAGCTCGTCTGCTTGCTACACAGTCAAAAGTATGTACTTTTTCTTCACAAAAAGAGCACATACTTTTAAGGAGTAGTATAAGTACCGTAGGCAAACTGGGATACAGCATAGGTCTCATCTCTGAACACTCGTATTTGGTGAAAACATGGAAATATTGTTCCTTCCATCACTTTACATGTCCATTAAGCCTGTCTGCCTTTTTAACACATTGGTCTAAACAGAAAGAAAAAGAAAACAAATCACACTGATAAAATTGTGGTCAATTAGTGCAACATTGTTTTCGTCTGATCGTCTGATGAGTCATCAGAGTCATGATCTGAATCAGTCGCATAACTTACTGAATCAGATCAGATTATTTCAAATGAGAAGAGATCCAATAACTGTTGTGTGTGCACTTTTTGAAAGCAATGTTATAGATCCAAACTTGCAACAGAGTTACTGAGCTTTGTTGTGCTAAAATATGTTAAAATAGTCTTGTTATTCCTTAACAAGTTGTCCCAATTTTAGGGTTGCTTGATCTGAAAATAAAAATAAATCCTTTAGGAAACATGCATACAGCATAGTGTTGTTTAAACATCACAAATAATGTTTTCAATCTGAATTTGAAAATGAAACATGAAAAGTTCATAGAGTTTTCAATTGGCTGTAACATGGCCAATATCATTAAGACTCTTAAGGTTTGACTTCCATATGTCAATGGAAACGGCAAAAACTTCGGCATCTGGCACACAAAGGACAAGAAAGAGAAAAAAAAATCTCTAACAATATCTTCTCAAACCCTTCACACATTGATTGGCTTGATTGTTTGCATGGAGGTATTTTAAAAGGTCAATGCAGATTGCATATCTGCAAAGGTTAGTATAAACGTAATCAACAAATTAAATTACAGGTTTGCCATGCATATTTCTGCTGTTTTCTCCAGTTAAAAGGCAGGATTAAAGTGACTTGCGCAGCAGAAGTACAGATGGAAGTGCATAACGGAAAACTCTCGGACACCTACGTGCGGCCTGATGAGGCGTTTCCTTGAACCATTCATGGCCATCAGATTTAATAGTTTATTGCATCCTAATGATACATTAAGAATAAATGATAATAAGAGAAAAAAGTTAATTATAAAAAGAGAGAAAAAAACCATTAAACGATCACATTGCATCCTTATGACTCCTCGTGAGCCACCCGGCCACTATAGACTGAAACGCGGTACTCTGACTTCGGTCAAAGGGACACTGCGCATTAAAACGCATCTCGTGGAGTGTTTTGATCACGACCTGACAAGCTTTGATCCTTTTCACAAAAAGGAATAATTAAACAAGGACAGCTCTTGTGATTTGAAGTGAAACAAATCCATAACGCCGCTGTTCCGGGTCTCTGAACCGTCTCTTGCCCTCCAGGTCCTCACCTGAATCATCATCCTCTCCTCATGAACGACTGCGGTCCGCTTGCGTCCCAACCAAAATCTTGCTGTAGATTTTTTGCTGCTCCTCTTTAAAAGCGTCTTTCACTTTCCCTCGTTTCAAACCACCATCCCTAAAGAAAAACACAAACCCAGTTTCAACTAAAATGACATTTAGCTGAGAAAACCATCTGAATCAACATGCACCAATGCTACATTTTTCTAAATGTCATAATCCTTTGTTAACAAACAAGTATTTATTCGTTACTTCAATTAGCTCATTGCGCTCAATCACGCTAACTGTGACTTTGTATATAGGTTTCTGAAATACATAACTTAGACTTAGGGCCAATCCCAATTCTACCCCTTACCCCTTCACTTTCCCCTAGCCCTACCCCTTCGCCTTCCCCTTTAACCTTGAAACAGAGTGGCAATGCGTAGGGGTGAAAATATTCCCCTAAGAAATGGGACACCACTACGCCTCCGTTAAACGTCATTATAAGTCGTCGCTAGCGCCTACGTCACAGGAGATGCGCCGATGTTTATCACAACTTCCAAGATGCCGTCGACAGCTGCAGTTATCTCAGTCGCGTGGGTTACAGCTATTTTCTTGCATTTATCTTGTGAAGTTCGCAGGAAACAACGGAGACGACGAAAATATGTTGCGGGACTATCGTTAGCAAACTACAGTAATTTTAGCGATTTTTTTTAATTTTTTTATTTTTTTTTTATTTAACAAACGTTTCTAAGTTTTCATTCATAGAGAGGGGCTATGTTCACTCATTCAAATAATGAGATTCTTATTGTGTACTAACAAGTGCTGTCAATGTTAACGCTTGCGATTAAGTTTGTCCAGTTTAGCGTAAATTAACGCATCATCATCCTTGTATTGTAACTATCCTTACATTAATAATAATAATAATTCATTACATTTATATATAGAATTTTTCTCGGCACTCGCTTTAAGGGGGTAACTCGTCAACCACCACCAAAAGGTGGTGAACTGCAAATGCTTTATGAACTGCAAATGATTTTTTTTTGCATCTTTGCGCGATTAGACATTCACACACGACGCGCAGAAAGACGCGCAATATTCTCTTTCGACGCAGTGCTTTCTTGCAATTGGGTCGGTTCATGTTCACACCGTAAACGAACCGTACCAGAGTTCGTTTGGAACCGTACCGAGACCACCTCTTCAGCTGGGTCTCGGTTCGGTTGTTTGGTCCGCACCCGAGTTCGATTGCTGTATTCACACCTGCCCAAAAGGTCCGCACCAAGGGGGCAAACGAACTAGAGTTCGATTCAATCGAACCAAACAAGGCAGGTGTGAATACACCCTTAGTCTTGCATTTTCTGTAAAGCTGCTTTGAAATGATGTGTATTGTGAAAAGCGCTATACAAATGTGAATTGAATTGAATATGGCTAAACTGGTTTCCTGGGCTCTCAAGCCCCGGTTATACTATATTTTCCGCGTTCCACTTTGTCTCGTGAAAAGTTGAGAGTGCAAGCCTTTCAAAGTATACTCCTCAAGCGTGGAAAGACACGTTCGGAGCATGTGCACTATCTAGTGCATTTATCTAGATGACTTTATCATCACGCAATCACTCGCACATGTGCTGTTGTCCGTGTGGACAAAAATTGGACTGCATGCGGACACAATAACACAAGATGTGTCACCCATAATGTTTTGAATGGGGAAAAGTGCAATGCTCAATATGGCGGAATAAGTCGATCGCTGATTGGCAAAGTCATCGGGTCACTGCAGCTGCCGTTAGAAGCTCTAGTTCCTATAGAAAGTCAGACGCATTAGCTTGATCCAGCCTTAAATTTGACATTTTTCTGTCATGATTTGAGCGTTTAGAAACAAATTTTATGAGACAGTTGGTGTGAGATTTCATTGGTGATTTCAAATATGAAACTTAATCGTAAGCTTGGCGAACATTTTTGGAGAATTTGATGTTTTCCCATTCAAAGAGATAGGAGCTGCACTTGCATGCCCGAGAGGCGTTTCAAAGATGGCCGCCGAGTGAAATGGACTTTGGCGTGCACGTCTACGGAAGTGTACTTTGGGTTTTAGTCTGTCCACTGATCTGGTAGCTGGTTTTGTCAGGCTATGAGACCAGCTTAAACCAGCAAAGACCAGACATGTTATGGTTTAAGACTATCTACGGCTTATATTAGTATTTGTATAACTTCTCTTTGGCCTTAACATAGCTGAGTCCGACTCACCACAGCAGGTCCACCAGACCACCCTGTCTGGCAATGGCTGCCTTTACTCTGTTAGCAAACTGCACGGCATCCTCATCTTCCTGAGGGAGACAAAACAGACTTTGACAAAAACCTTGATCTTAAGCTTTAAGAGTTTGAAATGCATTTTTCATACTTGTTACAATTATTTTCAGCACATTCAATTAAAGGGATAGTTCACCCAAAATTCTCTCTCATCATTTACTCACCCTCATGTCATCCCTGATGTGTATGACTTTCATAAACAAACAGACACAAACAAAAATTGTAAGTGTGTTACATTTTTTTTTTTTTAATTGGGGAACTATCCCTTTAATATCAGGTTTATCTAAAAGAACAGTAATTTTGCTTTGCCCCATTATGCTATTTTACAGGTTCCCATTTTTTTTTTGTCTCCTACAGTAGGTTTACATACATCCAAGGTCAAAAAACACTTTCAATTTTCTCATAGTATACATGACACATAATGATATTTCTTATAGAGTCTGAAAACAGTTTGTGTAAAAATTCAGTCTCTCTAAACTCCTCTCTGATTGGTCAAACGATCTAGTCTGTTGTGATTGGTCTATCGCTTACACCACAAGTCAGAAATTAAACTATTATCATATCTGAATTTCTTCCTCAACGCTTAATACACAGTGACACAAGCAATCACAATGTTTTTTCATATCAATTACAGTGTGAGTCCTCATCGTTCTAAAATGCATGCAAATGGGATTCGCAGCGCAGAAAACAGCGTCTTCTAGACATTTAGACCATACAAACCAAACTTTTCCAGGCCTCAGCTACAACTACAGTGTTTGAGGGTGGGTCAAAGTAGACGTTGTTCACAGGCAGCCAATGAAGAGCAAATTTGTTACATTGTTACATATATATGTAACAGGAAGCGAGACTGGAATTGGAATCGATTGTTTGTTTTAAAGGAAAATAACTTTATTTGCCATGAACTTTAATCTTTAAAAGTCCCTCTGTGGTGAAAATATATATAGCTTTTAATATTGTTTATACTGTATGTCTATGTGGTGTTTTTAATATGCTTTAAGACAAACCAAGTGCAAATTGAGTATTTTCTAATTAAAACTACAATGAACCAAAAACACGTTTTGAAAACGCATTATAGAAGCAATAAGTAGACCAAGGAAGGGCTTCAACATTATTCCAGTGATTTTCCAGAGAACTTCTCCAACATTCAAGGTGAGGCGGAACAAATTAGCACAATGATTTACCTATGGTGACCATTTCCATTTTTTTTGAGAGCCGAGAGCCTACATGTGCATTAAAAACAATGGTCTATTTGTTTATTTGCATGCCCACATGCAAAAACAAATGCCTATTTCCAATCTGAGGTGGGTGGACAAAACTTCAGACAGGCTGTCCAATCCTACTCGGGCTCATTTGTGCTTGATTTGTGTATTAAATGGACCAATGCAAAAATGGGGCATTCATACCACAGAGATTTTCCTGCATCCATAGAGATGAAGAGCATGCCGGCCTTACCTGGCGGCTCATCGGGGGCAGGTACCACACACTGCAGACGATGGCCCAGCTACTCATCATTCTGAGCAAATAATTCACCATCCCAAACTTACTGCTGTTCCAGAAGGCGTCCCCAAACCGAGGGTCATACTGCAAAAACACAAAAGACACACATAAAACACAGTGCAATCCCCATCACAATGCTGATGAAAGATAAAAACATAATTTCATAATGATTTTTTTAGCAAATATATCTAAACATTTCCAAAACAAGATAAAATCTAAACAAGACAACAAACTGCAGACAATAGCACTTGTTTTCACATTATATTTCCCAAATTAGGTTTTCCTTTCGTTGTGAATTGTTTCCGCTTCCATTTTATTTAAAGGGATAGTTTACTTTGAAATTAAATTAGCCGCCTTTCACTAAACATATTTAAATATATCGAAATTGTCTTCAATTGCGATTTCCTGTATATCTAAATATGTTTAGTGAAAGGTAAAACTTCCGAAATCTCTGTGTAAACAATGCGTGACGTAGACACGCGAGAGATCACTTCCGGCGTAACGTCTGGAGACGGTTCAGTACGGTTCAGTTGGACATCTGATTCAGATCAGTTCGACGGCTGTTAACAAGAGGTAAAAACGATATAAATACTGTTTGTTTTCTCACACAAACCGCTCGTTTCGTGTCTTAGGCCATCAGTGTGTACTTACATTTACGAGTCATTAAATCATGTTTAATTTTGACTTCTCTGTGCATGCTCTTTGACGTGGACCCCCTATACCTGCATTATATGACTGACAGACAACACCGGTTTGACCGAAAAATGTCAAAATAAGCTAATTTTTGAGGTAAGCTAAAACATATCAAAAATTAATTTCAAAGTGAACTATCCCTTTAAGGAGTAATTGACGATGGGCCGATGAATTACATGTGGCCATTATACCTTGGGTGTGCATTACTTTCGAATAATTCAACTGATCGGAGTCAATCATTCTGCTTATGCTACAAATACCACACCTCAAGACATTGTTCAAATGATGTATTTCAAGAAATTTGTCAGGTTTTTGTCCTAAAAACGTTCTTGTTGTGTGTAGGACTAATTTCTTAGGCATCTCATCCCATGCCTCCATTGCTAATACCAAAACGTAATTTTAGAGCTAGTAACAAAAGCTTAAGCCATTGATAGCAAACTAAACCAGTTACCCGAGTCTGTGCATCTCTCAACAGTGTTCAGCAGCAGCGTCTCTACTAATAGTGAAACTAAGTATATCTGCTTCAAGAACAGCATTTTTATTATCTCGTTAGTGAGAAATGTCAAGTAGCTTTTAAGTTGTTAAACTACTTTATTCATAAAATCGTCAGAGCGATGTTGGCAACACGTTTCTGTGTGTGTCCATACTGTATGTGTGTGTGTTTGAGTGGAGAAAGTGCGATTGTATGTGTTTCCACACATAATAAAATGTAATGTTGTGGCAAAAAACATGGGAAAATGTGATGTTTTTATTTTATTGTTTACTATATTTATTTGCTTGGTGTGCGTCGTTGTGGGTTTTAGTTCTTTTGCTGTTTTAGGCTAGCCTGGCTTCGCCCTACTACGTTCTTCTGCTCAATCTTCATTCTCCTTCAGTACTACGTCTGGGATTGTGGTGTATTCTTTGGTTTTCTCCGGTAATTTTTTGCCGATCCAATCAGCGAACAGTGGGAGTGGCTGAGAACGATGACGATGTTGTGCGCTAGTTTGAGTGGTTTGAGTCGTCATACATTACAACCAAACGTCAGCGATTGGTTATGGCAGATCCAGAGTGACTCTTCTTCCTGGAAAAGTTATTAAAGACATCGTTAAAATAGTCCAAGTGACTACAGTGGCTCAATCTTAAGTTTATCAAGCAACGAGAATACTTTTTGCGCGCAAAAAAACAAACAAAAATAACGACTTTATTCAACTATTAATTTCCTTCTCTGTGGGCGTCGAGTGTTCACTAGTATAATAGCGTAAGAATCTGTTGTTATACGTCACACGCATCACACACATGACCAGCGTCGGCTAATAGTGAGCTTACGTGTGACGTAGCCCTACGCTATCACACTACGTTAACTGACTAGAGGCCCACAGAGAAGGAAATTAATAGTTGAATAAAGTCGTTATTTTTGTTTGTTTTTGCGCTCAAAAAGTATTCTCGTCGCTTGATAAACTTAAGATTGAGCCACTGTAGTCACTTGGACTATTTTAACAATGTCTTAAATAACTGGCAAGTTTCAGTCCCTTAGAAGCCTATGGAGGAGTGATCCTGCTCTTAAATTTCATCAAAAATCTCTCAATTTGTGTTCCGAAGATGATCTTGTGAAGGTCTTACGGGGTTGGAACAACATGAGGGTGAGTAAATAGACAGAATTTTCATTTTTGGGTGAATTAACCCTTTAACGCTTGTCAATGGAGCGAGGCTAGACTCAAATAAAATCTACAAGAGTCTGGTGTGACCAGGCTAGTTTTAGGCATTTGGCAAAAGTCATTTGGCAAAGTGATATGGGCATGTAATACGGTCAAGACCTGCCTGGAACTACTTTAGCCGTGCGTTTCCCAGAAAATAATTGCACACCTTAGAACATTTGCCAACAATCCGTAGTATAAATATCATTTTTATATACAATATTTTATACATTTGTATACAAATCAAACTCCTTGCTGTTGTTAGTGCCATGCTCTACAAACTTTTAAACTGTTTTAATGGGGAAATTAATTGATATTTATGCTTAAAAAAACACTAATAAGGTAAAACAACAAAACACACACACTAATAAAAAAAATCTATTTTGAATGTGACTTTTTAAAAAAAATATTGGTACATTTTTTGCTTTAAATACATATTCCTGCAAGCTAATACAAAACAAAAATAATTTAAGATCTTTTCTCTGAAAACAAGTCTTAGAGCCAGATTTACTAACAGCTTGCTGCATCCAGACACTCTTTTGGGTTTAGGGTTATCTTGCTTTAGTAAAGTTATTATTAACAAATACTGATTAGGACATCAACATCCCTAATCGTCTGCTCTTCATCACTTTTCTTACCATAAAAGCTCATAAAGTACGAGAGGATGTAAATGAGGAGGAACCTTTGAAGCAGCTTCACAGATCAAAACAAGAGAGTGAAATATTCCAGTCTACCAGCTACAGCATTAAAGGGATAGTTCACTTTGAAATTAAGTTTTGATATGTTTCAGCTTATCTCAAAGGCATCCAAGATGTAGGCGTCTTTGTTTCCACAGTATTTTCAATTTTGACATTTTCCAGTCAAACCATTGTTGTCTATCAGTCATACACTGGAGGCTAAGGGGGTCCACCAAAGAGCATGCACAGAGAAGTCAAAATTAAACATGATTTAATGACTCGTAAATGTAAGTACACATTGATGGCCTAAGACACGAAACGAGCGGTTTGTGTGAGAAAACGAACAGTATTTATATCGTTTTTACCTCTTGTAATCATAGCCATGACAAAACGATCTGACGGCACGGGCACTTCGGTCTGCGCATGCGCTGGAAGTGATCGCTTGTGTGTGACGTCACTCTTTGTTTATACAGAGATTTCGGAAGTTTTACCTTTCACTAAACATATTTAGATACGGGAAACCGCAATGGAAGGCGATTTAGGTATATCTAAATATGTTTAGTAAAAGGAAAAACTTCCGAAATCTGTGAAGTTGGACATTGCACAACTGATTCAAATCACTTGGACGTCACTGTGATCACACGAGTTAAAAACGATATAAATACTGTTCGTTTTCTCACACAAACCGCTCGTTTCGTGTCTTAGGCCACCAATGTGTACTTACATTTATGAGTCATTAAATCATGTTTAATTTTGACTTCTCTGTACATGCTTTTTGGTGGACCCCCTTAGCCTCCAGTGTATGACTGATGGACAACAACGGTTTGACTGAAAAATGTCAAAATTGAAAATACTGTTTTTATATATTACTATATTTATCTAAAACTATATTTTTAGATATCAAAAATTAATTTCAAAGTGAACTATCCCTTTAAAAACACAAATTCATTCATTCTGCTCAGTTCAGCCATTTCTCTAGACAGAACATTACTCCTACTTGAAAAAAATCTTTAAGTTTGCAATAATACATATATACAGTACAGTATGCTTCAAGTGTAAAAGGCACATGAATGGGCATTGGGCATATTTGCCTATGTAAATGATCAGTGAAAGATAGAATGTAAAAAAAACAACAACAAAAAAACATGACTTAAAATTCCACAATAATGAATATATCTTCCTTTAAAGATTTTGAGCAGAAACAAGATTATGCTGTATTTGTAGGTCACAGATTTGATAAGCAAATTAGTGAATCATGTGAATTCCTTTATTCAAAAGGTTACATTTCCACAAGATGTTCTTTGTTCTTTATTTTGATACATGATCATCAGGTTTCACACAAACTTGTGGAATTCATACTGCATGCTTGACTGCTGCTATCAAAAATGTGTGGTAATTTTTCAGTTTAACCTATTAAACTTTACTAATTTAACAAATGTAGCATGAAAAATAACTAATAACAGAGTCTAATTTATATTTATTCATTTATTTGTAATATGTTTTACCTTTATTCTTAGTATTATTAAAATAGGGGTTGTATGCTTTAGTTAATTTTGTTTGTGTATTTGTTTTTAGCATTATCATTATAAGGTATAGCATGTTTTAGTTCATATATTACAAGGTATAGTAAAATTCTTTAGTGAAAGTCTTGTTTTATGAATGTAGTTAAGTAGATAGATTGATGTTGTCTGTGTGCGAGGACTGAACGTGGTTGCTGCAATTTGTAACAAATCTAATTTCCTGAGAAGGATTAATAAAGCATCTATTTATAAAGCATCTATTTATCTAACTTAGTGGTCTCAGACTACCGTGTGTATAATTAAGGTATCGTTTACGATCATAGCACAACATGGTTTTTCCTAGGTCAAAAAAGGTTTTCAGTGGTGGCGAATGAACAGGGTCACCAACACTCTCAGTTCACATGGGTACTGTGAACTGTGTATGCAGTCCCATGAGAACTGAGAGCCCAGTACTGACAATAAATCTAAAATAAATGCAAAGAAACTATTTTTTTTCCATTAAATAAAAAAAACACTGTGAGGACAGATCATAAAACGAAATGCTTATAGTGATTTTACATTTAAAAACACATTACATTACATAATGTACACATTACATAAAAAAGTGGTAGATCAATTATTTAGCATTTACAGAAGACGTATTGCACAGGTCATGTGACATACCAGATTTAATATAAGAAATAAATACAGTTGTCAATCCTGTGTTTGAAAGCAGGCATCTATCAGCGGATATATTAGAGACCCACTGATAGACGCCTGCTTTCAAACGCTGTGTGTACCTGTGTAAGCGTTCGGTGAAGAGCGTCAACTATGTCTATTTACAACATGTTTTGGAAGCGTTGATCATTGAAGCCAATCACAGACATATATGTTGAGAGCCAGAACACAATGGCCAATCAGAAGTGTTTAAGAATCTGCTCAACACCGCTCAAAATGCTAGACGGAAAATGCATTTTTTTTATTTTAAAATACCCAAGTCGGTACCTTTGACAACACTATCCACACGTTTATTTTAAGGAAAAATAAACTTGTGAAATTTTGAAATGTGCCATGTTTATACGGCAGCCAAAATATTATCAATGCAGTAAAACCCTGAACAAACACAGGAGGAGCTATCCACCAAAGTTTAAAATTTAAAGGGATAGTTCACTTAGAAATTAATTTTTGGTATGTTTTAGCTTACCTCAAGGGCATCCAAGATGTAGGTGTCTTTGTTTCCACAGTAGTTTCAATTTTGACATTTTTCGGTCAAACCGTTTGTGTCTGTCAGTCATATAATGGAAGTCTATACAGATCTACTAAAAGAACATGCACAGAGAAGTCAAAATTAAACATGATTTAATGACTCGTAAAAGTAAGTACACATTGATGGCCTAAGACACGAAACGAGCGGTTTTTGTGAGAAAACGAACAGTATTTATATCGTTCTTACCTCTTGTCACCACAGCCACATCCAAGTGATCTGAGGGCACGGCCTGCGCAAGCACCAGAATAGGGCTGCACAATTAATCGAATTTGTAATCGCGATTACAATTATGGATGCCACAATTATGTAATCGTTCAAAGGCACAATTATAAAAAAGTCCACTTACATTATTCTGTGTGCTTAAAATGTGTTTTTTTTACGGCTTATCTTAAGGGTTTTTTCCCCCATTGTTTTAATTTTAGTTAGCGTAACATTATAATTATAATTAGCATTAAAGCAACACTATCTAACAACTGTTTACTTAAAATAATGTTTCCAAAATCTTATCAGTGGTTCATCAAGTCGTGACAGGGTGAAAGGGACTTCTGCCGTTGCCTGACGGGGTCTGTATCACTTTTACTGGCGCTATGTAACTTCGGGGTTCGGGTAGGAACCCGACCACAAAAAGAACTACAAAATTCGACTGCTTTACATCAAGCACTATAATAGTCATTATTTCGTTTTTCTTCGTTTCTGATGTCGCAATACATCATCCTTTCATGAAATCATGTAACATACTCTGTGGACATCGCTCATTCTAAAGCCGGTGCTGGATAAACAGTGAGTGTGCGTGCGACGGTAGGCTAAACTATTTACGACAGCGGCAATGGACAATTTTGTTTCCAACCAGTAGGGCGACCGAAGAGGAAAAGTTACTTAGTGTTACTTTAAACCATAGAAAAGCATCAAAAGTTTTTCAGGAGTTTTCAGCCGTTTTATTTTGATATAACAATTTGCATGCAGTCACTTCGAACAATGGCATAAAGCTGTTCAAAACATCATTCAATGTAAATTGTGATAATCTTAATTAATAATCGCAATTGTAATTTCAAGGCAATAATCGACAATTACGATTTTTGTCATAATCGTGCAGCCCCACACCAGAAGTGGTCTCTTTTGTGTGTACGTCACTCATTATTTACACAGAGATTTCGTAAGTGTTACCTTTCACTGTGAAGATCTAAACATATTTAGATATACATAAATCGCAATGGAAGACGATTTCGATATATCAAAAGACAATGTTGACATTTTTTCACAACCATTTTTAGATCACTTCCGGCGCTTTCCAGCGCTCGCTCGCGCAGACCAAAGTGCCCTCGCCCTCAGATCACATGGACGTGGATGTGGTTAAAAGAGGTAAAAACAATATAAAAACTGTTCGTTTTCTCACACAAACCGCTCGTTTCGTGTCTTAGGCCATCAATGTGTACTTACATTTACGAGTCATTAAATCATGTTTAATTTTGACTTCTCTGAGCACGCTTTTTGACGTGGACCCCCTAAAACTGCATTATATGACTGATAGACAAGAACGGTTTGACCTAAAAATATCAAAAATTGAAACTACTGCGGAAGCAAAGACACCTACATCTTGGATGTCCTTGAGGTAAGCTAAAACATACCAAAAATTAATTTCAAAGTGAACTATCCCTTTAAGGATCAAGGTCTGTTCACATCCCTAACCTGAAATCTCCATTAGAGAAGTGGTATTTTCTGACCTTTATGGCGACGGGGTAGACAGTTGAGCCAATTTCAAAGCTTCCTTTCTTGAACATCATCACTGATGTGTTATTAATGCAGGTACCTGGACACAAATTATATAATGAACACAGGAAACAAACAGAAGACCACAGAAACAACCAGGTCACTTGTGATGGCAGTCACAATAAGCTTACATATGTAAAACCCTTATTAGAAGAGAAACTGTAACTGGGCAATTGTAATGTTTTTCCATCACATTCTTTCTCTGCCTGAAAAAAATCAAGAGTGATCAAGGCCGGTTGCATAAACATACCTGACACAAAAAGATGGTACATAGATTGGTATAATTTTAAATCCGAAATGTAAGACTGATTAGCTCTAACTAATTTCCAGTTGGTCCAACAAGTTATTAAGACACAGTATTAACATAATGGCTATGTTTATGCCACTGGCCCCAGTTCACTTTGTAAGAAAAGTTCAACAAACAATAATTTAGAGTTTTGGATGTCCAGTATTTGTTTCCTGCTGTGAAGTTAAGACACATTTGAATTTAACATAATATACACTATCATTCAAAAGTTTTGGGTTAGTAAAGTTTAACAAATATGTATATTTAAAAAAAAATATAAAAAATAAAATTATATATATATATATATATATATATATATATATAAACAAAAAAGCTATTTTGAATTGCTATAATATATGTTATTTAACTATAATATCTAAGGGTATTTTTTTATCAAATAAATAACATAATAAAAGAATAACATACATCTTAAGCATACAATCTTGCCAACCCTAAAGCTTTGAATGGTAGTGTATGTACAAAAAAAAAAGGGTAGTCTCCCCTAGTTTCCCTTTCACATCAATAATCCTCTGAGAATGAGTTAAGCTTACCTTCAGGGAATATGAGGATAGGCAGTTTGCTTTTGTCTTTTACATGATCACTCAACCTGAAATAAAAATGCATTTGATTAATGACAACAACAACAACAAGTGAGAGTGTTATAAAAGAACCAGTTTCAGTGTGATATACGAACTACTATTGTTAATTTGCATTTTTTAGAAGAATCATCCAGGGACCAGTTGCATAAACTTAACCACTATTAACCCTACTCCTCTCCTTGGGTCATTTTGTTGATTTTTAAGAATCAGGTGTTCATCTGAGTGATCTAAGAGTTTGCTTTCAACTTTTAAATTTGAAATGGGAATACACAAAAACAAGTGACTAGATTCAAGGAGTTTTTGTGGTTGTAATGAAAATAGTAATCTCCTTCCCTCATGGGTCGATTTGACCCCATACCCCCACCATACACACGCTCAAATAAAGAGACTATAGAACATCCCTGAACACACCCACAAACACAAACACACAGATGTACACCACTCACACATAAAAAAAATACATAATAAAAGTAATTTACTTTTATTTTGTACAAAATATTTATTTTCAAATGTCTAAATATATCTATAAAGGCATAAAAAGCTAAATTCAGTTTCAAATTGGAGTTTTGTTCCCATATTCCAGTTTAGTTACTTTATATAAAATATCCAAAGAGAAACTTTAAGCCCTCTCCTCTAGTGGCAGTATTCATAAAATGTATTTTTTTTTCCATAGGGGTCCACGAGACACTGAATGAACGCGTGATTTATTATAAATGTTTTCAGTAGAATTGGTATTTTTTGTGAAACAATCTAAAAAAATGCTTATTTTCAATTAAAATAGTACTATTCAAGAAACTAGAGGCAAATAAAATACCGGTAATCACCATATGTAAAAAACAAAAAACAACAACATTATATTTAAAGACAATATGTTATCATAATAGACAGATATATGATTTTTGAAAGAAAAAAAGTACTATAATGTTTAGGCTCTGGGTCATTTAAAGGGGTCAAAGTAGTAGTAATTTTTTTTCCTTTCCTGTTTGGACCCTCTCTTTCAAACACACAGTTGTGATAGTCGTGCCGCATTCAAGACTTGGAAGTAAACACCACTGCTATGAGTGGTTAACAGTTTTGCATATTAAAATATTTCAAACGTCCCTGTCATTACATGTGTGGAATTGTTTTGAAAACTTAAGATTTTAAAAAATATATTGTTACATAGTTCAAACATCTGCCAACCATGTGAAACATTTATGCATATTATTACATAAACTCTATTTGCCACAAGCAAGACTTAAAAGTTAAAAGGATGACTTCGGGTAAATAGAATTATAGTCACACTGTAGTTCTTAAAGGCTATTCATAGTTCATCCTTTTCGAAAAAGTGAATAACTTATTTTGTCATTTGATGTGTTGTTTTAAATAAAATGCACAGTGTTGTAATGTCTTACTGATGACAAAACAAATGTTGCTCACCAAAACTTTTATTCAGAATTACAGTGAATGGCTTAGACCAGAACAATAACAAAAGCGTTCTCTAACATGCTTTCTTCCATGTCAGAACAGCGAATCACAACTATCACAACTGTTCAGTTGGACTGCGGTGTTACAGTATAAATACTTGATCCATCAAACAATCTGTATCAGACAAAGCAATAGTGACACATGGTGAAAACACTTGAGTATTGCAACATTACGGACATATCCAATCCATTTATTTTCAATCTCTCTGAAAAGCCTGCGTCTAACTGTGTCTTGTTTAAAAAAGGAATCTGCAGTAAAACGAAGTTAATAAACGAGCAGTGTCTTACTGACACAATCTGACTGGAACTTCTTTAAAATAAATCCAAGCTTTCTTAATGTTAGGATTACAAGATAACTTGGCACATTAAAACAAGGAAGTTTTGAGTTCTGAAACTTACAGGATGTATAGTACAATTACCATTTTTCAAAAGATTTGTCAAAACAAAAAGATTTCTCGATTCATGTCCCCTTTAACCAAGGGGTCTTACTTTGTGTAGCTGACTTTATAAAAAGTTATGACCGGCCTTGAAGAAAAAAAAACAAGACTTGTCTGAGCAGTTTATGCAACTGGCCACAGCACTTATGTTCAAAATCCAAAGAAATGAGACAATGCTGAGTTACCTTTTAGCCACTAGATGGCGATCTTTGGCTTCTAAGCGCTCAAACCAAATGTGTGGACAAGCTTTCACCATAGACCTCTGAATGAGCCCCATCAGCCCCCCATGGATCTGACCCACCTTTAACACACACAGAAACACAATTTATTTAACTTCTGACATTCATTCTCAAATACATATATGAATACACACACACTCACCATTGCATAGCATCCATCACTGGCCAGTATAATGACATCTATGGGTGAAGTGTGGTTGGCAACACAGATGCCTCCATTCTTGGGTTTATTTTCACTGTTCCAGAAAGGAGATTGTGGGCAGAGAGAGTAAATAGTTACATGAGAATCATGGAGAGCATTGTTGGTGGTAAGGTAAACAGGTTATAAGTTTGTGTTGGCAGCCAATAGTTTAGTAGCATCTTCCATATTGAAGGAACCAGTTTGACTGGTCAAGGGAGAGGTCCTCAGAGAAAGAACACTCTTTATTCTTATCACATTTTAGGAGGCAGAGAAGAGAGAGAAAGAATGCACAGGAGGTCAGTGACCTGAAAATACCACACGTGATCTCGTACAGGAGACAGGAGTGACAGGCTGAGATAATGAGCACTGGAGAAGTTCAAAATCAGATGAATCAAGACACAAAGCCCCTGCTAACTCACTGTTACATTCATGTGTCATGAACTCTGACCCCACGCTGTTTGTGTCAGATAACGTCGAAATCTGAACCATATACAGAACATGATGGATGAGGTAACATTCTCAAGAACCATTTCTCATTAACTGGAAAAGAGTGAATGGAACATCCTTAAAATTGTTTCCTTGGAAAACATGTCCCAAGGAGGATAGTCAGACAAGTTTGAAAAAGTTCAGAGAGAACTGTGAGCATGTTATTTAGCATGTATGACTGGGTGTGCGATTGGGAGTGTCATTTGAGTGCAGGATTGTGAGGGTGTTGTAGCATTGTAAGCATGTGTGTGATTGAGTGATTGTTAGAGTGAATGATTGTGAGCATACAGTTGTGCTCAGAATTAATGCCACCCCTAGTAAATATGATGAAAACTGGCTGTAAAAAATAATTCTGCATTGTTTATCCTTTTGATCTTCCATTCAAAAAATTGGCAAAATTCTAACCTTTCATTGAAGCTAAATAATTGAAATTGGGGGTAAATCACACTATGAAATAAATGTTTTTCTCCAAAACACTCTGGCCATAATTATTGGCACCCCTAGAATTTTTTATGAGAAAAATATCTCTGAAGTACATTCCCATTAATATTTAATTTTTTAAGCACATCAGGGTGACTAGGAACATGAAATAGTCCAGCTATGACTTCTTGTTTCAAGGAGTTTAAATATGAGGAAGCACAAAGGTCAAATTCCCTGAATCATCCATCACAATGAATAAAACCAAAGAACATGGTTCTGATGTGCATCAAAAGATTGTTGAGCTTCACAAAATAGAAAGTGGATGTAAGAAAATAGCTAAAGAATTGAAAATCCCCATTTTGACAATAATTAAGAAGTTATAATCAACTAAAGATGTTATGATTCTGCCAGGAAGAGGACGTGTGACTATTTTGCCTTAATGGACGGTGAGGATGAAAGTTTGAGTGTCCAAAGACTCTTCAAGGATCAAAGATGGAGAATTGCAGAGATTAGTTGAGTCTTGGGGTCAGAAAACCTAAAAAAAAAAATATCAGACAACCCCTACATCCCCACATGTTGTTTGAGAGGGTTTCAAGAAAAATGCTCCTCCAAAAACAAACTCCAGCATATTCAGGTGTCAGACACGACTGGATCTTCAAACGGCACAGGGTTCTGTGGTCAGATGAAACTAAAAAAGGGGCTTTTTGGCAGCAAACCGAGCAGATGTGTTTGGTGCAAACAGGGATGAAGAGTACCCCATGCCTACAGTTAAATATGCCGCTGGATCTTATATGGTGTGGGCCTATTTATTTGCTGGAGGTCCTGGACATCTTGTTCAGATACACGGTATTATGGATTCTATCAAATACAAAAAGATAAAAAAATAAAAACCTGACGCCTTCTGCTAGAAATCTTATAATGGGCCGTGGTTGGATCTTCCATCAGGACAACGATCTAAAAAATCAACACAAAAATTAGTTACGGAGCACAAAATGAAGCTTCTGCCATGACCGTCCCAGACCCTGACCTGATGAGTGGAGTGAACTGAAGAGATGAAGCACCAACATGGATCTGGGAATCTGCAGGATCTGGAGAGAGTCTGTATGGAGGAATGGTCTCTGATCTCTGGTCAGGTGTTCTCCAAACTCATCAGGCATTATAGGAGAAGACTCAGATCTGTTATCTTGGCAAAAGTTTACAGATCTGAGGTTGCAAAAAGTTTTTAATAACAGGGTGCCAATAATTATGGCCAGAGTGATTTGGAGAAAAACATTTATTTCATAGTGTGATTTACCCCCACTTTCAATTATTTAGCTTCAATGAAAGGTTAGAATTTTGCCAATGTTTTGAATGGAAGATCAAAATGATAAACAATCCAGAATTATTTTTTACAGCCAGTTTTCATCATATTTACCAGGGGTGCCATTAATTCTGAGCACGACTGTGTGTGTGTTTTTGTGTTTGTGAGTGCCTGGTTGAGAGAGTATAAGTGGGATGCATGTGCCTGACTGTGGAAATGATTTTAAGTGTTTGATTGTGATTGTGTATGAGTGTTTGTAAGCGTCAGATTTCGAGTGTGCATCTGTGTGGTTGTGAGTGTTTGTGTGATTGTGAATATAGGTGTATTTGTTTGATTGTTAATGTCTGATAGTGAGAATGATTGTTAGCATGTGATTGTAAGTGTGTGTGTGTGTGTGTGTGTGTGTGTGAGAGATGGTGAGCCTCTGATTGTGTGTGTGTGTGTGCAACTTATTGAGTGTTTGATTGAGAATATCTAATTGTGAGAGTGATAATGAGCATGTGCTAGTGTGTGTGTGTGTGTGTCTATGCAAGTATGTGCAAGTACGTTATGCTATGGTAAATGTGTGTATGTGTGTGTATTTGAGAAAGAAGTTCTGAAATGGTTAATCATGTCTGTGTGTGAGTGTGTGTGTTATAGGCTGATTGATAGTGTCTGACTGCAAAAATAATTGTGAGCATGTGATTTTGAGCATTTGTGAGATCGGGCGCTTGTATTTTCTGTGTGTTTCAGGGTATGTTTACACGACAACGATATGCTTAAAACGGAGCAGTTTTTCCTTTGAGTTTTCCGCATACAGACGACATCATTGTCAAAACGATCACACTTTTTTTTTTGTTATTTACAAAATTTTGTTATTTACATGGAGAACGTTTTCAAAAACTTGAAATTGCAAACTTCCGAAAACGGGTTTCAAAGTGCAAGCACCCAAAACGGCTACAAAGTTGTATGCTTTTAGTTGAAAACGGTGTTGTGTAAACAGCCCCTTATTACGACCCTCTGAGTGTTTGTGAGCTAATCTAATTACAGTATATGACTGTGATAGTATGAGTGTGATGTATGGAGAGTGTTTGATTATGGGTGTCTGATTGTGAGCATGTGTGTGTGATTGACAGATTCATTGCAATGGTGAGAGTGTGTATGTTTGAGAAAGAAGTTCTGAAAGGGTTAATTGTTTCTGTGTGAGTGTGTCTTGTAGGCTGAGTGATAGTTAGTCTGATTGCGAGAGAAACTGTGTGCATGTGATTTTTGTGAGATTGTGAAATATCTGATCATCCTCCAAAACACAGTTGCTATTTAAATATCATACGTCTGTAAACGTTACAGGCTGTACGGAACGGTTAAGCAAGCAAAAAAGTTTTGGCTCGATGACATAAACGTTGGAAGAATCTGTCCTGCTCCCCTCACAGATCATGCTTATTTTATCTGATTCTGGTACTGGTTTTCACAGAAACCCTGGATACTGAACACTAAATTTTTCTCTACAACAGATTCCCTCTTATTATTTAGGTATTAAGAGCATAATTGAACAATTTAAAGCAAAACCTGGTGCTTCAATATCTTCTAAGTGGGAAATGTTTAAATATGAGTGTAGAAAATTCTCTATTCTATTTAGTAATATTGTTAGCAAAGGCAAAATCTTTAAATTATACCTCTATATTAAATTAAATGAATCAAATTTGAGGTGCCTTTATTAGATCAAAAGAAAAAAATTCAGCATATTTTTTTTTTAATTTAGAAAAGAAAAGAGGGAAGTCTAAGAAAATATTTTCTCTAAATATTGAGGGCAATTTGGTCACAGATAAAGCTAGAGTTTATAATTTTGTTTACAATTTTTATTCACAGCTTTATTCTTCTTCATTTAAACCTCAGTTTGCTGATAGATTTTTTTTTTTTTTTTTGAGAGGGCAAGCATTCACACCTATTATAAGAGATGGAAATCGGTCATCTTGTGAGAAGGATTTGACTATGGAAGAGCTGGATATAATTATCCAGAAAGCCCCCCCCCCTCAATAAAAGCCCTGGTCCAGATGGACTGCCTTTTGAATTTTATAGGAAATTTTATATGTAATTTTATATGTCTTTTACCAAGACATAAAAAAGCTTGTTTTGGAAGTTTTCAAAGATTGTGTAAAAAAAGGTGAATTAACTCCATGAAGTCAGGGCTTGGTCACTTTAATCCCAAAGCCTAACAAAGATTCTTCATATTTATCCCTTAGGGGTCTGAGCTGTTTTATGGGTCCTGGAGGTGTTCTGACATGCTCTGACATGTATCACATAGCCTAGAGTATTTGCTCCAAAACTATGTGAAAATCTTCCTGACTACTCATTCAGATAAGACAATAAAGTCTTTTATTTTAAGCGTCCTTTGCAGCGATTTTTGTGTGAGCATATCAGTGAACACTCGGTAAGTTTCAAGTCTTTGTAAACTAAAGTTTTATGCGTTTTTATGAAGGATTGTTCACCTATGCTACCATTGTAGAGGTGTGGGGGTGCTACCACAGAAACTGAAAATTCTCGTGACAGCAGCATCTGTCTAAAAAACAATCTTAACCATTCTATTTCATCAGAAACGATCTTAAAACAGGGCTTTAATTGTAAAATACAGAACTTGTGCTTTATGAAACTCAACGTTACAAGCCCTCAGTGCCGAGCAGTTCGCATGTGACTTGTATGCAGTGTTTCCCACACAAAAACTAATTTGCGGCCACAAAATCAACACCGGCCGCCACATATTGGGTTTCATTCATTTTTTTTAACGCTATTTAAAACACGCAGCGTATTCTTTCAGTTGTATTTCCTTTCCCCGCTCTCCCTCCGTCTCTCTCGCATAGGCTACACACACAACTCCTTGCACACCGCGTCGGACGATGAAGCGCCAGACTGGACAAAAGCGTGGCAAACTCTGTGAGCGACACTGGACGAGAGAGAGACATGACTTCATTTAAACTTATATATATAATTTTCTATAATTTATTTAAGCTCATAACCATATTTTGTTGTTACTTGAAGAGTGCAGTGTTATGTTGCATCATGCAGTATTTGTCCTGAAAAGGCTACTGAGTAAATGTCTGTTACATCAATAAATTAAAGGTCATTCCTATTTTATTTGTATACAATTTAATCATTAACTTTAAAAGCACAATCTTTTTACGACTAAAATAACAGTCAAAGGCAAAAAAATAAAATAAAATAAAATAAATTCCCAAAAATTAAAACGGAAAAAATAAAATGGATTTCATAGGGTGATTTCAGGTGTGATGGTGAGTGTATTATTGTGCATGTTTGTGTGATTGCACATGATTGTGTGTGATTGCAAACATGTGACCTTGCGATTGTACATTGACCAATAATGCCAAGGCTCCTGATGGTTGGAGATTTCCAGAAAGCATGCGTATGATCTGTGGCGTTTTACCTGTGATGGTATGTGATGATAGCAGTCAGCGCTCTCACACAGATACGGTAACACATCAGGTGCACTGTTTCACTGAGAACATTTTTCAACCTGCAAACACACACAGGGACGCATTAACATCCATGTTAAATCACACTCCTGAACAAACTTATAACTAACTTCAAAATATCCGACAACTTATTGGTCTCACAGATTGGTTCAGCACTAGTCTAAGCACTAAAAAATCCTTTTTTAAATTTAAAATCAAGTTTCTCACCTTCCATTGGGCAGATGACCAATAATGGTGGTGAAGACAACCAATAAGCTTATTCCAGTGACTGCTAAAGTTACCCTGATAAAACAAAAAACAAGACATTCCAACTCAAACATTGGAACAAACATTACACAATTTGCCCTTTAAAGGGGTGATGAACTGAGAAATCAAATTTCCCTCGAGCTTTTGACATCTAAGAGGTCATCATAAAAGAATATCCTGTAAGTTTCAGAACTGAAAACATCCTTGTTAGTCCAATAAAAGCTTTTATTGACACCAGACTCCGCAAACGACTCGTTTTTCAAAGTGGGGAACTATGACGTCAAAGAGAATAAACACCACCCCCGCAGAAGAAGATCAACGCCTACTTCAACACGGCCGGTTTAGCCCCGCCCACCGATTACACGCATAACTAAAGATTTGCGCATTACACGCATAGCTAAATAACATAGATGCCTACCTCGTGATGACAAACCAGATCGAGCTACCGAGCAATACCATAGACAGTAAAAGAAATGGACAGAGCGATCTCATTGGAACTCCATTGAGACGATTGAAGCCCGTTTTTGGCGATTTTTTAGCACTTCCGTCCCTGACGCGCAGACTCAAACAGAGCTGGACTACGTAGTGGGACGTCAGTGACCCGTCTGTCTTCTCGTGCTGTGGCATGAGAAATCTGAATCATTCCCTTCCGAAACATGCAGAGGTGGAGAGTGTGAATAGGAGCTGCCCGTGAGCTTGGAGAAGACGACAATTTTGCTAGGTATTCTGATTAATTATTTTGTCATTTTGCCTCCACGTTTCCCAGATTGCGTGCGAGCTTCTTCTCATGTCCATACGGTAATCTCTCTACGTGCGACAGAGAGTCGCGTGGGTATGACGCAATCGTTAGCCTACTTTCACTAAAACTGCTTCTACGGGGCCATAACATAAGCTACAAGGTAATGGAGCTATGTATACATTGTCGTGTTTCTTTAGAAATAAATAAAGGACAAAAGGGGTCTTCAAACGCCTCAGATGTAAAGTTAAGTGACACCAAAATGAATGGGAGTCAATGGGAATGCTAACGCAAGTGAAGTTCTGCTACCAGATGTCAGCTCCCGCGAGGCTTCAGCTTCCGGTCGATGGATTACCCCCTTGAGCAATACGAAATATTGTGGTTGTGGAAGAAGACGGTCGCCGCATAAGCGTCCTCTGGGTACCAATAGGACTGCATGGATAAATGTTATTTTTAATGACGTTCCAGCTGATGAGGTAAAACATTGTCCGTCTGTTCGCTTCATTTCATTGAGGATTGTTTTGTAAATAAGACTGGATTTGCAGACCGATTAAGATTAAAGAACGGTGCTGTGCCATCTATATTGGATCTGCCAGGAATGGTGCAACACACGGACTCTGGGTCGAACATGTATGCGCAAATCATTCCGGTTGCCATTTTACAACATTGGACGTTTTCAAAACACCGACGGGTGAGTTGAAACTCATTATAATATGCAAAACTGTTATCCACTCACATCAGTGGGCGTTTATTTCCAAGTCTTCAGTGCGAGACGCCCATAAAAACTGAGCGTTTTTCAGATAGGCTCAAAACTAGGGTAGAAAATAGCCTATTACTTATTCATTTTGATGTTTTTGAATGCAAAAACCAAGCGAACGTCAAAAGTTGACCTCAGAAAACAATATAATAATATTTAAAAAGCCAGTTCAAGACCCCTTTAAACCTTTTTGTTTGCATTTCTCCGGTATGCCATGCTCTATGTAGAATAAAACATATTTCTCTATGTTTAGGATTATAGAAAAAGGCTACTACATAAATTGTATTTAAGTATAGTAAACTACATTGTCTTCACAGTGTAAATCAAACATACATGATATTATATATTCTTATTAAAGTAACAAAAGTAATTCAGTAAAGACCCGAGTGATGAAACATTAAAATTAATCAAATGTGCAATCAGTGACTGCTGCCACTTTAAGACCGAATGCGCAGATCTAATATACTGATATGCGCATTCTTTCGCAATAGTTCACTTAATGCATAAAGATTGTGTGTGTGAGGATACTTGAAAAGAGGGGCATTTCGAAACATAAGTGTGTGTGAATTGGACCGTTTAAGCCCAAATAATTCAATACTAGCACGCGTTTCAGGTATGTGCTCAGACAAGCACACATATACCGATAGCATTAGCATATAGCATTGATTCATTTTCAAACAATACCCAATCTACTGGAATTTGTCACAGGTCGAATACACCTACATTCACATTAGTTAGTTATATGATCATAACTCCAGGAGCACATGCACTACCCACCGCACCATAACTTTGACCTAATGGATGCAGTTGTGCAATTAATCGCACAAAACCCAGGTGGACACATCTGATTAAACAGAGCTCAGATATCAGGCACTCTTCCTCATCTCAAATGTGCACACAGGATGGTGAAGTGTTTCTATTACGGGATGTGGGTTAAGGCCATTGCCCTGACTGACATTAATCCAACAGAAGCTCCATATGGCCCAGAGGGGCAGCAGAATTAGCCTGTATTTTAAGACACTAAATTCAGACTTGTGTGCCAAAGCAGAGCAAATGTCTCAGAATGGACCGATTAGAATGATGTCACATCAGCCAACCAAACCTAATATTTAATATAAATTCTGACAGCACTCTACAAAGCCATTAAAAAAGCACAAGTGCTGCAGATATATTTTTGTTTTGCTATATTACATACAGTGGACCTCAAAAAGTAGTTAATAATGTACCCACCTATACCATATACCTTTTATGTATTTTCCATAGACATGTAAATGAGAGTAACAGCAGTGCCCTCTGCTCTTTTCTTCATGAAGCAGCCGTTTCTAATTTGAATAGTTTTTTTGGTATTCATACTGTCTAAAAATACTGTGGCAGTCAGCGCTCAGTCAGGGCAATAAAATAATAATTAGTTTTATACCATGGTTTTACTTTACACACCAATGTACTTCAGGCACTCCCATGGTACATGTACAAAAAGATAATATTAGCATGGTAAATGCGTCAAAAACAATGGTAATACAGCAGTATCTCAACCATTTTAGTACTTCTTTGTTGTTAGCATTGGCCTCATTTTATTATTTATTTTAGAATTCTTCTCGCTAATTTTCACTTTTGATTAAAAATTAAATAAATACGTTTTTTTGTATTATTTTACTAGGTATATATTTGTATTACATCCATTATTTTACAATATATTGGTATCACATCCATTAGTATTATCAAAATGAGTGATTGGGTACATACCTGCCAATATTGGATATTTATATTTGTCATTTCATAACATTGTCAATAGTAATGTTTGGTAATCCATTTTTCATGCTGTACATTAAAATTAAGTGATGCAAAAATGACTTGAATTTGGTGATTAATCTGGTATGTTTATTTTAGTTAGACAAAACACCATAGAATTATAATCTCAGCAATTTATGGGTTATTGGCCATAAAAAGAATATAATAATTAGCATCAGCAGCCTGAATTTTAATATCTTAGACTTTTATCGAGGCCCATCTTTCTTCTTGCTCACCTGAGGGGCAACAGAAACCCATAACGGATGATGACGCCAAAACCCCACAACACTGTCAGTCTGGTGCTAATGTGCTGGAAGTTATAGTTGCTCCTGGTCAACAGGTTCCACGACTCAAGTTCTTCTGCCGAGAAACATTTGGTAACCTCATCATCTACGATGCTCTCAATGCCACGGCGGCAAAAGTAGAAGGTGTCTGACATTTCAAACTCTGACGAGGAAGGGGCGGGGCCTGTGGTGGTGGAGGCGGAAGCATCCAACTCTCGACTGCTCCCGTTACGCCGAATCTCTTTGAGCTCATCTTCCAGTGATGTAGGTTCTTTAGCGATAATGCCTGAGATAAAATGACAATGCAAACATAGTGTCTTTGTGAAGAGCAAAATTCAGGACATTATATAACAGAGCACATAACGTCACAGCGTAGAGAGTAAATAAATACATTTTGAAGAGAGTGGATTCTGGAATTCACAGCTGCTTCGATGTATATCTAATGAGTGATTGTTATCAAGGTATACAGTACATCTATATTTTTCCTTTAAAAGGGACTATAAGTAACTTTTTAGGTAATTTATAATCTAAAATCAATATATTTATTCATAAATATGCCCCCAATGGTGTACAAATACCTCTGCCAATTATCAGATTTATCCACGTAAACGAAGAATTGATTATATTTTTATACATGGGACGGGTAAATCTATGGAGGCTTCCATGTAGTTTCGCCATCTTGAAAAACTATGATAGCAGAGAGGGACAAAAAGTATGCCAACGCGTTTCCACAACGTTTTCGTTCAGAGCCAGCGTCACGTAACTGAAAGCAGCAGAAACGGAGGAGCAGAGCAGTGAGAGGCGCATGTCACTTTTATTGTTAAAGGAGAACTCCGGCGCAAAATGAACATTAGGCCTAATAACACATTGGTACCTTGTTGACCATTCTCTGAGATTTGTTTTCATGATAATCGAATGTAAAGAGTTTTATCTCTAAAACTGTTTAGCGTATAACGCTAGTATATGGGGGCATATAATAAGTAAAAAGAAATCACTAACATGGCTCAAAATAGCCATTTTTTATTTTTTGTTGGTATTTTTATTGGTATTAACTAGCGATTTCTTTTTACTTAATAAATGCCCCCATATACTAGCGTTATAAACTAAACCGTTTTTAGAGATTAAGCTCTTTACATTTGATTATCATGAAAACAAATCTCAGAGAACAGTTAAGTAGGTACCGATGTTTTATATTAGACCAAAGGTTCATTCTCCTTTAATGGCGGACCATACCTATGCCGAGGCACTGGATAAGAAATCCTCTTTGCCAAAACGGACCAAAAATTATCGTAAAACGAAATGTAGTCTCGCGTAGCCAGACCTTCAGACTGACGGCTGAAGGTCTGGAATTCATAGCAGCTTTCTTTGGCCAAGGCCCGCCCATAAGGCCGTTTGACCGACATGTCAAACAACCAATTACAGTTCGTTTCATTCAGCGTCACGTTTCGGGGCGTGGAAATGTCCCCACAACATCAGACCGGCGTGCAACAAGTCAGTCAGCAGCAGTCACCGGAGGCGCTCGTTAACAACGGTCCGCGTTATTAAATTCACCCACGAACTCGCGCTCATGTCCATCTTATGCCCGCTTTGTCACACGGCCAGTTCAACCTCGTATAAATCAGGTTATGTGTGTAAATCATGTGCTCACGAGCGCTCACTCAGACACACTGTCCCCGGCGCTGCTCGTGCGTCAGAGTTATGTTCATAAAGCGCTCCCCGTTCACAGTAACCGGCTCGTCTCATTCAAAACAGCCAGCTGTAACGTTAGCTGTCAGCGAGCCGCCGCACATTGAATACTCGCAGTCAAACGTTTGACTCTGCAGTATCTTATGCACCTTATAATCCAGTGTGCGCCCTATATATGAATACTGAATCTCGGCCAGCTGCGATGTCAGCGTCTGTTGTTTCATGTTTGCCCACAAACGCGGCTGATATCCCCTTCGCAATTAAGTACTTCACTTGATCTTCCATAATTGATAGGAGGGGACATACAACTACGTTTAGCTGATCTTGATTAATGCTCATTGTCACTCATAAACACAACAGTTTTTCTTCCGCAATCACACTTCTGCGCTTTGTTTCCCGGCGGACCGAAAATAAACGCGACACTGACGCCCCCCGGAAATCCGATAAAATTCAACCAATCAGATGACGACTTCGACATTCCTGAAGTGTTTCCAGTTAAGTGTACCATATGCATCAGACGTTTAGCCAACGTTCCGTGGGCGTGACGTCTGAGGCTGAGACTAAACGAAATGTGACCGGAGGATACAAAAAACACGAGTTAATGTCAGGATTGCTTTTTCCCGGTGGAAAGAGCTAATGCAGGAGAAAGAATTCAAAAGAGACGCTGAAGTTGCCTGCTTTCTCCTCGACAGGTAAGTCAATGTTACAGTCTTAATTACAAGCTTTTTTTTAATTCAAGAAGAACATTTACAGATAAAAGTTAAACAGGCTCTATGATGAGTCGCTTCTCTTCTCTGCCTTTGGAAACTTTCAATTCTATCAAGATCGTCTCTTGTAGCTGCCGGGCTTCTTTGTTGTCGTTGTATTGACTCTCGCTCTCCTCCTCTTCCTCGTCGTCCACCGCCTCGCCTAGATCCCACTGATCCACTGCCTCTCTGTCCCCTTCCTCTACTTCTTCCTCTCCCTACTGTTGAATCATCTGATGATAATATCTAACAATGCACGTACTTCAAAAAAATATAACGAGTAAACAAGGCAGAACTACTAATTATAATAGTCACTCATTACTTCATACTGTAACATTCGTTTCTTCGTTGTGTCAATTTGAAGTTTGTTTGAAATAACAAACTTGTTCACCCGAAGAAAAACTCAACAAAGTGCTATTAGCAGACATCCTGTCAAAGCTTTTTGGTACATAACGGCTACCGTAGATGCCACACGCATTTGAAAACGCGACACGCTGGAGAACACAATTCGTTTGAATGCAATATACAATTTCACCGCCAGATGGGAGTAATTCTTAATGTCCCTTTAAATATCAAATGAGTTGAATGACTTCTCTAAGCTTATGAGATTTTAGTTTGTTATAGAAGTTACCAGTGTGATTACTGAAATGTTCTTTTCATGTATACTTTAATGTCCGTATTAAATATCTGAGAACTGACTGAGGGTCTGGCCCATTGTTCTATATAGAGCATCACAGTCCCGCCCACAGCCGGTGCCAGAAGTAAAAATTCAATACAATTTCTCCATTGACATTTGGGATATAAGCCATAAAAACGTAACCATAAATGGTAGACTTAAAACCAGCTACGGCTGTACTAAGCGATTGTATATGCTCATATAAATGCCAAAAGTTCATGGGGCACTAACCTTGTTTTAAGATAAATCCCTTTTATTCGCGATGTATTGGATAAGTACTTCATTACCCACAATCCTGAACAATCCCACAGTGAAGCATCTGATTGGTGGAAGTCGTGTCACGTGTCTAAAACCCTGCGAAGGTACGTGAAGTAGGGCTGGGCGATATATCGAATATGTACGATGTATCGTTATATTTTTTGAAACGATATGGAATGAGGCAATACCGTTTATATCGATACAGTAGTTTGATATGAGCACATCTGAAAAATAGCGGAGGTTGCAGTGTGAGCTGCTGCAGTGAAAGTAGCTAGGCTACGTAGTACAATTTGTCCTAAACATGACACAAGCTTATATTAATTGCGTCAAAATCACTTTGATATAGTTAACAAGTTTAAGGCAGCTTGCCGCCCTGTCAAATGCTCTGACAGACACTGTTGCTGTCTGACAGATATACTTGCGCTGTTTAATGCGTTTGAGATGTGGTGCTTTCCTCAGTGCTCAACTTACATTTCACATATCCTCCATCTGTAAATGTTAGAAAGTAAAGCAAATATGTCCATTTCACAACAAATATGTCCATGTCAGAAGAGGACGAGCTTCTGCAAGTGAATCTCCGCTAAAATTCATGCTTCCTTGAACGAGCGCCGGCGCGCGCATGCGCGTGAATAGTACTACGTAGTACGCAATAATTCTGACTAAAATAAACATATTGCTAAAATATTTGTTGTTGGAGAAAATAAATGTGCCATATGTGGAATTTTAAACCTACAAGTATATATTTTTAATGAAAGTGAAAGTGATTATAATGGGGTAATTAAATGCAGGCTAATATAATTAGTTTGTGCTTTTGTTTTTGTTTTTATTTTCATTTTTAGTTTAGCTTTTAGTCAATATAAAAACAAAAGCTTTTTGCACATAATATATTGCATAGCCTATATTATATTTGTTTCCATATCCTTCAATATCAACATTGTTTGTAGGATATCATTGGGCCGAATGTGAATATACTGTATATATATATATATATATTTTTTTTAATATAAAGATTTTCTTTATCTAAATAGAAAACTTAGAAAGTACCGAGATATATATCGTATATCGCCATTTGACCAAAAAATATCGAGATATGATTTTTTGGCCATATCGCCCAGCCCTAACGTGAAGACTGAAGATTGCGTAATGACGTAGGGCTAAGTTCATTGGTCGCACCTCAGAAACGACCCCGCACCATTGGATATACAGTAGCCGCAACACAGCCAATGAGCGAGCCTGATGCTCAATGTTTTAGCATGTGCATAAGCTTCAGTAAATCGAGGAAAAGGAGTTTCCCTGCACATTCACTATATAAATTCACTGGAGGAAAAAGTTCACGCGGCCGTCGTCAGATTTGGAAGTCGCTCAAAAGGCTCTTTCACGGTGGCTTTCAGACGACTTCAGTGAGTCGCGGTGGTTTATGGGAGGAGTAGTTCCTTGAGGCTTGTACCTACAGGCTTGTACCTTTAACTTTTTTTGGATTTTCTCTTCGTTTTTTCACTCGAAATGATATGTTGTATGCTTATGAGTTCAGCCGTAGCTGGTTATCCTCAGACATGCTCTAATACTCTTTAGATATGGATTTTACAAAATGTCAATGGGAGAAATGTATGGGAAATTTACTTCCGGCACCAGCGCTCTCTCGGGCTGTGGGCGGGACTGTGATGCTCTATTAAAGCCTCCTCTCATTGAGAGAAAGAACATGTTATCTTGATGTTTTGGGAACAATCTCCTGTTTAAAGTTAGAGCCTGGCCAAATCCAACCTTGAAGAAGCTGAGAACTATGTTTATCTATTTCTTAGCCAATCAGAATCACTCATCCTGAAGCAATGATGTAGCTTAGATTTTTGGTGAAGGGTATAATTGCTGCGATCTTTGTAACTGTAACAGGGCGGCCTATGGACACCTTGTGAGTCTTGAAGCTGACTTCCGCTTGATGAAACTACAAAATATCTTCAGTAAAACTTTTCTTTAATTTATTATAATTCTGTCTCTTGTCTTAAATTGACTGCACTTTTAATTCCTGGTCTTAATTAATCATGTCTGGTTCTTGGGTCTTTAACTGTATTTCCATAATAATTTGTAAATAAATAAAATCTTTGAATCTAAAAAAAAACATTATATAATGACGTATAACGTTTAATGATTTCAAGCAAATCCAAACACAAGCAAATTGGACACAAATAGTGTGACCGCAATTCATTGTTGCACGATCTTTCTGCGGATTGGTCAACTGACAAAAACAACCATGTCCTGTGAGAACAACCAAGCACAGGAGACACACCGAAACAAGCAATGTCACTCAGATTAACAAGCACATGAGCAAACAGGAACAATAGATATTTCCCATAGGTGTAATTGTACAGTGTTTACTTACTATTAAGACTGTAAGGCTTGTACAGAAGATGGTTTTTTTCCTTGGCTCCTCTTTCCATCCTCACGGTGGCCCACTGGAGAACAAAGAAAGAAAAACAAACTCAATTTAATGTTATCACTGCAACATACTATTTAGTTAAGAATTATCTTAATTAGTAAAGAATTAGGGGTGATCTAAATATTTAATTGTATACAAATACATCTATTATTTAAAATATTTATATTCATATTAACTCTCTGATCATACATGAAAATCTAATTCTGGGGGGAAATATAATATGTAATATAGCAGATAATGTGTAGTCAGCCAGTCATTAATAAGTAATAAACCGCAAAATAAATCAGTTATACTTCCTCTGTGGATTACATCATAATGGCCCTTAAAATAAAACTGCCTATTTCGTGATTTGAAAACACATTGAGGTGGACTGCAGCACACACACACACACACACACACACACACACACACACAATGAATGTTCTCCCAAGGAACAACAAGCACTTTATTGAAAAGCTGTGGGAGGAGGAATAATGTCAGCATGTTAATTCAGGCATGTGGAGCACACAATACACACAACTGACTTGCACTAAGAATCAGTAAACACTGAAGGCTGGTATTGATATCGTACAAAATTTACCACAGGTTTTGCTTGAACATCAATGCTTCAATGTCATATTTTAAACCAGGGATTCTTCTAATATGTAATACTTTGAGGTTAAGGACAGAATGTACACATCACAAAAAATTGTCAATGTTGTTCCTGGTGCTCAAGGGACAATAAAACTTTCCAATCCTAAGGGTACGTTTGTTTCAACAAATGACGTGCTAAAAACGGAAAAGTTTTTCTTTTGCGTTTTTTTGCATAGACGATAATATTGTCAAAACGATCCCTGATCACACAGACTAAAAAAAATGACTAAAAACGCTTTATGCATGCCAGGCCAGTAGTTGGCGATGTTACTTTGTAAAGAAACACGCGCCCATAGACTGAATAGGTATACACATGCTATAGAGCTGGTAAGTCCCGCCACTTCCGCTAACCCCGCTGGACCTCTAGGTTGAAAAATCGTCAATGCAAGTGATTGAGAGAAAGTAATTATTGTCTAATCCCATTTGAATTTTGCAATGAATGTGAACATATGTTGTCTGTGAATTTTTTATATAATTTTTCGTGTAAAGAATGCTACAATTTAGCGGGTAGAATTTGTGTGAGAGCGCTTTGTGGACTACAACTCTTCGCTGCTTTCGACGCGTTTGATATACGTCACCACCACTAGCACACAGATCCCGCTAAACATGCCTGTGTCTTTGGTGCACTTCACCGCCTTCTTTCGGGGAGAGGACAAACTAGTTGAGCGTGGTGTAAACCACTTCAGGTCCGGGCATGTGGAAGGGTTTAGGTACGCAAGTGGGGAGATATGCGTAGTGTGGTCTTTCTCGTTATGTTTATTCCACAACTGCTAGCCAAAGAATCATACAATATACTGTCAAACTCGTTACATGAGAAATTATATAAAAAAATTCACAGACAACATATGTTACATTCATGGCACAATTCAAACGGGATCAGAAAATAATGATTTTCTCTCATTAACTTGCATTGACACTTTTTCAACCTAGAGGTCCACTTGGAGTTTTACGGATGGGCGGGACTTACCAGCTCTATACACGTTTTTGTAGTTTATACAGAAACGATAACAGTATCATTTTCATAAATTTGCATTTTGAAACCCTTTTTCAAAAGTTTGCATTTTCAAGCCTCCTGTAAAAATGAACTTACAAAATGCATACAAAGTTTTAAAGTCCCCGTGAACCGGAAGTTGCAAACGACTTTTCTCCAGTGTTGTGATGTATTTCCGAGAGAAACGGAATACTAAATGAGGCAAAAATAGTGGGCGTGGCTTTTTTTCCAACTAGCACCTGATTGGATCTAGAAAAATGGGCGTTTCATTCTGAAATGGAGGATGACGCAAGTTTACACACGCTGTCAATCAATGCTCGCTCGGCACTCGCAAACACACAGCAGCTGTCAGTTGAAGGGGCGTGGTTATGGATGTTAAGGAGACACCCAAACCGTAAAGCCTACATCATCGGGCAAGGTCCTCCAATGCAGAGGGGAGGGGCATTTTCAAAATTTGATTAAAGATTACGAAGCCAAAATTTTTTTTGTGTGGATTGACTTGCATGTATGAATTGTTCACCACAAAACGATCAATTTAGGCAAACAAAGTAAGTATGGTCAATTTTGATTTCATGGGGACTTTAATGGCTCGTTTCCACTGAGTGGTACGGTACGGTACAGTTCGGTTCGGTACGCAATTATTTGCGTTTCCACCGTCAAAACTTGTGAATGGTACCAAAAAGCCGAACCGTACCGTACCACTTTTTGGGTACCCTTCCGTTGGGGTACCTAGCACAGTGAAAGGGTACTAAAAGGTGGAGCTAGACTCACTGCAGAACGGTGATTGGTGGACAGAGTATCGTCACTCGCGCGTGCTACAAGGGCATTAGAAGTATATGCAGTTGAAATGTAATTCTACTGTTATTGTGTCACGAAATGTAGTTTTAAGAGTTTTTCAGGCGAGAAAGTAGTTTTTTAAAGCTCAAATCTGTGGTTTATTTATAGATTTATGATAATTTGACTGAGATCCATTCTAAGCGATCACCGGACGCTCGCGCTCGTGTCCCCCGCCTGGAACAGCCTTTCCTCGGCTAGTCGTTCTGATGTTTGCCGCTGATTTCTTTGTAGTGGTTAAACATGAGATATAGTTCGTCATGTATAAACCTAACAGGTGATCTTTGGTCTCGTGAATCTATAATTCGTTCCCTGGCCAATAGTTTTGGCAGAAGGCTACGTGAAGTTTCATATCTTTGAGCGCTGAGTATATTTGACTGACTGAATTATTTCTTGATGTTATATTTAAGCTTTACTCTATATCTTTTTGTACTTTTTACTTTATTTTATAATGGCTATTATTGATAAAACTGAAATTCAACAAAAAAGTTTTGTCATTTTTTTAATTTAATACAAGATCATCTGTATGTTTATTGCAACATTTGTACCAATGCGATATGCAATACATTACATTACATATTGCCTGAAATATGTTTTTAATATAAATATAAATAAATATAAATATTTTTTAAATTTAAACGAAAAGAGGCAGGGTTGTTTTATATTTAATTTTGTTATAAATATATAGCTACATGCAGAACATAATCAATAGGCTATGCGTTGCCTGAACCACATTTGTTTGCTTTAGAATGTTTAAAATGTATTAAAATGAAATCGAAAAGAAGCAGAGTGGTGTTTTATAACATATTTCGTTTTATTGTAGCCTAAAATGAACATACAGAGATAACCGGAGTCGCAGAGCCCGAGCGAGCAGAGTGCCACGTTTAAGAACGCGCTGGTCCATTAGCAGAATTACTGGACTCGCGTCCTCGAGTCGGACTTTGCGTTGGCTTCTTGGAAACGCCTAATGCCAGCGCTTGTTTCTAGTGACAAACATGCCGAGAAGCAAGAACAAGATCTGCTGTCTGTCATCCATTGTTGTTTACTATGTCGCTTTGTTCGCGCGAAAATGACGTCGATCGCTTCTTTCCAGCATACCACGCCTATCAAGTAAGGGTACTGTTGGCGGTGGAAACGCAAGCCTGATCATAGTGTACCCGACCCGACCCGTACTGTACTGTACCGAACCGTACCGTACCCCTCAGTGGAAACAAGCCATAAGTTAAAGATGGTGCTGTGTAAACGGCCCCTAAATGTGCAGCTCAAACTGTTTAGATGTTTGTTTCTAAAGCTGGGATGCTTCAGATTCTGCAGAGCTGTAGGTGCTACACACAGCAAGGAATAACACTTTTTAGCATTTAAATTAAATTTGACTCTTTCTGTCAGAACCACTATCGTTAAATACGACTGAAATTACAGTTTGGATTGGCGGTGTGTTTCTGTTCTGGGTAATCAGAATGCCATACTGACTGGGCAAGAGGAGGAGCTGGGGATGGAGAAGGGTAATTAGCTACTGAGAAACAGAATATAGCTGCTGATAATACTGAAGGAGCTTATATATGTATACATAGTGATAGGCGTCGTATTCCTATAATATCAGCTGATGCGAGGTTGACTAACGTGACCTGCCAGAACTGGCGCTATGCTTAATTATTATTATTATTATATCTGGTGTCCAACAATAGTATCTATCGTACTTCACCGTTACTAGGTTGGCCAAGTTGCATGACTGACATGTAAATGTGACAAATTTAATAGCTTTTAATAGCTGAATGCTGTTTAAAGAGCACCTATTATGCAAAATTCACTTTTACATAGTGTTTGAATATAAATGTGTGTTGGCAGTGTGTGTACACAACCACCCTATAATGATAAAAGTCCACCCAGTGCTTTTTTTTTAAAAATCCCCATAAATCATAAGCACTGTCTCAGAATGTAGATTTGCACAAGCCCCTCCAATGGCTGTTGACTGACAATGCAGTTTTAGCATAGACCCGCACTGAGTGAGTGACACACAGCCTGCCATTGTATCGACGCTGGAACAGCTGTAGACAAGAATGTCTTCTAAGCGATTCAAGCTGCGTTCACTACATGCGACAGGATACTATTCATTTTCAATAGTGAGCGGGCGACTTCCGGCGACACGCGCGGTCGCGACTGGATGGGCGTGTTGGCGTTGGCGACCGGATGGGTGTGTCCAGCGACAAGACAAAGTTGAGAAATTTTTAACTTTATGCAAATGAAGAGCGATTTTTACGAGCGACAACCAATAGGAATGAATTTAGTGGAGTGCGTCACTCTTCAGTGCTGAGTCTGACCGAGGCAAGTTGAACGAGAAGCTCATTTTACCCGTCAGAAACTGTCCAATAATATATGATATATCTCCGTGTACATACAGTGGTGTTCACCATACTGACTCCGTGACTGAATGGTTTTGGGAACCCAGATAGACTGGTATTTGCACGTTTGCTCCAGTTAAATAGCCGAGATGGCCGAGTTTTAAGAATATAAAGTTTACTACAGAGAGTTTGTTTATCATTGCGTGAGATGAGATTTTC